CACATCTACCCATTGAGATTTATCTACTTACAAAGTTTCATGTTGATATCTCTTATAGTTTTACAGCTATGTCCTGGACAAGATTTTTCTAAAAGTGGAGATTATTCAAAAATAAGGCTTAACAGAGTTATGGTTCTTTTGCACTGCAAATCTATCCATTGAGATCTATTCACCTACAAAGTTTCATGTTGATATCTCTTATAGTTTTAGAGTTATGCCCCGGACAAGATTTTTCTACAAGGGGAGATAATTCAAAAACCGGGCAAAATAGAGTTATGGTTCTTTGACACTGCACTCCCCCTCAATGCCCTCTACCACTGTATGAAGTTTCAACAAATTATCTCCAAGGGTTTTCAAGTTATGTTCCGGACAAAGTTCAAAGTATTAAAATAAACAAAGGGAAATAACTCCAAAATTAGGACAGAAAGAGTTATTGTTCTTATGCACTGCACATCTACGCATTGAGATCTATTCACCTACAAAGTTTCATGTTGATATCTCTTATAGTTTTAGAGTTATGCCCCGGACAAGATTTTTCTATAAGGGGAGATAATTCAAAAACCGGGCAAAATAGAGTTATGGTTCTTTGACACTGCACTCCCCCTCAGTGTGTGTGTGTTGAGTTTATTTACCCTCGCCACCGGTTAAAAACCATATGGGCGAGCATATGCTTCATTTATTAAAGGGAAAACACTTTATTTAGTTAATATCTGCATATGTGACTAGTGAGTACAATATTTCCTGCCCCTACAATGCAAAATAATTGCACTGAGTGGGACTGGAAAACGGTGGGATTACATCCCACACTAAGATTAAAAAGCTGTATTTAAAATCTAAGCTTAAATTAAAAAGGGGGGAAGACGCTTATACGCGGACGTCTTCTATATAGGAACAAAAAAAAAACCCTAATAATTATGTTTAATGATAGCTTCATTTATTGCAAATCATATTTATAATGTTAAAACAAGTATTAAAAGGGGGGAAGACGCTTATACGCGTACGCCTTCTATAACAGACCAACACAGTTAAATTTGTAGATCTTAGTTTTTATTAAGCTTTATTTAATACAAGAGAAGGTTTTTAAATATAAACCTTGGCAACACGTCTGAGAATATAGTTTTTGTGTGTGTGTGTGTGTGTGTTGAGTTTATTTACCCTCGCCACCGGTTAAAAACCATATGGGCGAGCATATGCTTCATTTATTAAAGGGAAAACGCGTACGCCTTCTATACCAGACCAACACAGTTAAATTTGTAGATCTTAGTTTTTATTAAGCTTTATTTAATACAAGAGAAGGTTTTTAAATATAAACCTTGGCAACACGTCTGAGAATACAGTTTTTTACAAATTGGCCATCATTTAATGCAAATACTTTACGTAGGGAGAACAATGCAGAAACGATTTTGACAGATAGCGCCGAACCACGTTTAGTAGGTAAATTTTGATTGGCCAAAAAATGGTGTGATTTGTATGGCTAATTAAGGATAAGATATGATTGGTTGATAGTAAACAGATTTCATTGGCGCATTTACTATCCGATTTTGGAGCTTAGCTTGAAGAATTTTTTGATCTAGACCACGTGGTCTCTGTATTGACATTTCTGCACTGTCTCCCATATAAAGCTAAAAACAGACTTCCCGAAATACGTCGGTCCGACGGACATGTCCGATAAATTTTGATCAGGTCCGACGAGTTTTTATTCCGGATCGGTCCGACTGTCCGGCTTTTATCCAAGCCGCATGTATACAAAATGGCGTCGCTAAAGGTGCCAAACCTCGGAAAAATAAAAAATCTACGTCAGAGGAACAGGCAAAACAGCAGTAAAAGGATAAAAAGAATAGACCTGAGACAAAATTTAATGAAAAAGAGAAGCAAGACAGTGAATCGTTGGTGTATGATAGGGAGGAGATGAAAATGCGCTGTAAGGAATGTGCCGATTTTTACGGCGAAAAAAATAAAAACAAAAAGTGTCTTAGAAATACAAACACAAGTCATTCTTTGATTTTGACCAATTTTATTTGGTCCGACAGATTTCGTTTCGGTCCGACAGATTTTCATGGTTTGTCAGACCGAATGTCTGACAGTTTTTTTCAACTTTCGGGAAGTCTGTAAAAATAGTAACAACGGTGTCTGTTGGAGACCAACCACGACACCGCTGTTTAAGTATTTAAAAACAAGGAGGGGAATAGTACTGATACAATTGGTACATGATCTTATATGAATAACAATGATATTCAGTAATTATATTGTTATTCTAGACTCTCTATAGACCTATACGAAAAGAATATAGAGAAATAGAAAAATTATACCTAAAATGGCTATTAATAACTTGCTTGGTTACCTACAATGTGATGAGTACTGCCTTTTAGAGAAGAAAAAAGCTGCCTCATACTTGTTCTACTCAATGAATTGACGTATGCTCCATTTTTGTCATTGAGTAGATCACAGTATAAACTGTTTTATAAAATATTTGTTTATATGGGTACAATCTTATATGGAGTCTTTGCTAACATTAAGGTTGTCTTTAAGAAAAAAAAGAACAGCATTATAATCCATAGGGACTTGTTATGCTAGTTATGAATTAGAATAAGACATCCTTAATGTGATGAAGTCCTCTTACTAACAAATAAAAGAGGATTTCATACTTGATTGAGCCCTATATAGCCTTTGCTCCATATTATTGAATAGGGCTCAATTTTAACATATAGTATGTTATAGATTGTACCCTATATAAGAATGAATAAAATTAAGAAGATATATTATATATTTACAAACAGACCAGCTGTTTATTATTTACAAGGGATAAAAATATAGATAAGAGGTATAAAATGGAGTCTTTATGTGACATTGTAGGTATCATGTAGCCACAACCCAATTTTGATTGATCATGTACCAGGGACAATAAAAATAAGTGATAGTGTACAGTCAGTATTTAAGAAATATGTACTAAAATTTATTAAAAATGTAGATAAATAAGCAATATATAGTTGTCTCACCGTTTAACGGCCACTTTTTAGGACCACTTTTAAAATTTAATTACATGTAATAAAAGAAACAATATATTATTTACAATAAAAAGTGTCTGACCTGTACACTATTACAACTTTTAAAAAAATTATATCTAATGGAGCTCATAAATATTATCACAAAAATAGAATAAACTGGAACAATAAAGTAATTATGGCAACACCCACTGGCAGGTAATTGGAAAATTTATACACCTATATGAATATACCATATTTTACATTAATAAAGCTGACTCTCTTGGAGCCAAATGATAATTAGATGAGATAGAACAATACCAATTTAAGTTGTTCATGGAGGAAATATGCACCCAAGGAAGGACAAACCACAAATCACCTTAAAATAGCACCATTAGAATAGGTATTAAACTAATACCAAATTACCAATATATCTATGTGTATTTCTACTATATAGAAACAGTTGAATATTTAATTAGGACAGCATGGGGTCAAGTTTCCCTGAGGTACGGCCTGTCCACACGCTCAGTTCAGCCCGCCCCATATCTGTCCCCATCAAAGTCTAATTGGAATATTTTATATAACATTTAAATTCTACTCTGGCACCCAGGTTGGTAGAAAATGTAAACAGATTTCAGTATTTTCATGTGTAATGTTGGTTTCACCTCTGACAGGTTATATTTATTATGTTTCTATGTATATAATTTCATTTATTACAGTAATTGGGGGCACTTTGTCATTTATTTCTTTAAAATTCATTTGTATACATTTCATATGTTCCCTAATAGTTAAACTAAGTATGATTATAGAGTAAAACCAATAATAACCCAAAAATTCAAGTATTGGGAGGACAACTCCTACTTATACCAGAAGTTTACCTTTTTTAGCTATAATTCTTATTTTCCTCCTATCCTATTATCAAATATTATCTTAAACTTGTTAAAATTACATATTTATATCCTATATAGATCATATTATAACCATTTGATCTTATTATGGCCATTATTAATTATATCAAGCAGCAAATTGAGAAAATAGACTTCATTAATCCAAGTTTGAGTTGCTTCCCTTGTACTATTATCTGAAATTTAGTGATTTAAATATTAAGTTTATGTGTCATAGGTAATTGGCCATATCTTCTTTAAAATTTAATGAATTTTGATGGGATTTTCTTTATTATCTCATTAAAAGATTGCTCTTAATTATTATAGTGATGTGGCAATTGTAAATAAAGAACTTTACTTTTTGGGGGAGTTTAAGTTGGTGAAATTTTATTGTTTATTGTTAAATTGACTATTTACCACATATTTAATATGCTGTATAGGGAAACAACCATAATTTTTTTAATAAACCACAAAAATTAATGAAAATTCTTTTAATTAGACCTTTAATGGTGTTAGTTAATTATTATTAATTAATAATATAGATATTTCAACTGTATTTGGGTTTTATTCTTGGTTTTACTGGGTCATATTATGTCAATAAATAGAGATTTCACTGATTATCATAAATATCTCTATTATAAGTAATATACTGTCATAGATGTTAATTAAGCATTTTTTGTCTAAACTAGCTTATAATCAAGTTTAAATCTAATTGTTTGAGTTTCCACTTAGCCATTAGTAAAAATTGGATACTTATTTAATATATTTGATGTTGTCAGAACTATAAATTCATAACAAGGAACCAGTATCAGGGGACTGAGTATGCAAACTGGGTCCCATTAACACCTAATAATAAATTAAATTGAGGTATACAAATAATGCAGTCTTTATATTAATGTCAGAGGGGATGGAAGGTGGGATTTTACATTAAAGGCCAATCATGACTTCATATGTGAATATGACTGCTGGGATATATATGAATAAAAATTAACATTAAAGGCCCATCACTACTATAATTAGTGATATGGGTTATTATTTTTTAAAATTTTGTCTGTTAGACAACAGTTAAGAATGAACAACTCTAAAGCTTTAAAAATATATACTGAGTCTTTCTTTGGTGGGTTTTTTTTTTATGCTATATCCCAAACCTATAGCACCAAGTGAACTGGTCGCATTCATGCAATAGGTGGGATATATTGTATCTCACTCCACATTGGGCACAATTGGGGCTTATTTTCTTGATATATTGGCCAGAGTCCCCTGGTAATAAAGTTGTGCCCAACCTCAGTCTTGTTATAGCCCTATCTATTTTTAGATTATTTGAATATTGAACTGGGCGACTGAGCCCCACTGAGCTATTTATATGTTTCCTCTGACCCTGGCAGGAATTAGATTCAGTCTGCCACAAGTGAACTATATATTTTTTAATTTTGGAATATATCTCAGTGGGGGAGAGTGAGATTGATTCAGTGACACGGTTGAGGTTTAAGCCCATTTTGGCCGCCCTGTCTGCCTGTTCATTGCCTGAGATCCCTATATGTGCTGGACACCAAACTATGGTAACCTGTTTTCCTAGGTTTAGGACTTTATTATATAGTAGAATTATTTCATTTAATAAGTCTGGTCTCGACTGACTATTGTTGGATTTCAGTGAAGAAAGTGAATCCGAGAAAATGACAGCTTTTGTTATATCACTGTCATGAATCCAGCACATAGCATTTCTAATAGCAAGGAGCTCGGCGGTATAGATGGATGTATTATTAGTTAACCTATCAATTTTTTCATATTGTATGGAAGGTATTACTACAGCCGAGGCAACCCTGCCAGAGTCCGGGTCCTTTGATCCATCTGTATAAATGTGTGTTTGACCTATATATTTGTTAATTAATATTTTTGTTTCTGTATTTGCGAGATGCGGCAAATCAGATTTGTTCACTTTTTCTTGTAACGTTATGTCAACCTCAGGCAAGGTTAGGGTCCACGGCGGAACCACCATGGGCCGCTTCTCAACAATGTTTGAATCCTTAATACCACACTCCTCCGCTAGGTCCTGCGTTGCAGCACCAAAGGGGAGGGCTGGGTCTTTAAACCTATTAAGTTTATAGTGGCCTTTTCCCAGCAGTCCTCGTACCTGGTTGTCTGCCGCAGAGGCTCGAACCCGGGTATAATATTTTAAAGTTTGGGATTTCCTCCTTATTGATAGGGGTACTATACCGGCCTCCATCTCCAGGTCCCTTGCTGGTGTGGAGTAAAGGGCCCCCAGGGCCAATCTGAGAGCAGTGTTTTGTACGGTATCGAGTTTATTTAGATGTGTTTTTTTAGCACAAGAATAGATCTGAGCACCATAATCTATCTTTGAACGTATTAAGGATTTATATAGGAGTAATAGGCTATTCTTATCAGTCCCAAAATCAGTGCCTTTTAACATCCTCATGACATTTAAATCCTTTTTACATCTGTTGACCAAATCCTTGATATGCGGCCCGAATGTTAATTTTTCATCAAAAAGTAAACCTAGAAATCGGACCGTTTTAACAAAATTAACGGGTGTACCACCTAAAGATACGTTCAAATTGTGCTTTTTTTGATTACCAAATACAATACCCACAGTTTTAGTTTCAGATATTTTAAAGCCCCATTTTTGTGCCCATCCCCATAGAGAGTCCATGCCAGCTTTTGCATCCTTGGCTAGCTTAACCAAATTGGACCCAGATTTCCAGGTGCTGGAATCATCAGCAAACTGGCTAATGACCATACCAGAACCAGAGAGAGATTCTGGTAAGCCGTTAATTATAATAGAGAATAATAACGGCGAGAGGATCGAGCCCTGGGGTGTACCACGCTCCACTGGCTCTGTATCAGACATTGAACCCTCAACTCGAACCGATATTTTCCTGCCCTCTAGAAAAGACCTTAAATACTGGAAGCAAGCACCTGTCACACCATGTTCTTTTAACTTATATAAAATACCGAAGTGCCATGTAAGATCAAAAGCTGCTGTTAGGTCTAAAAAGATAGCTAGCACTCCCCCTCAATGCCCTCTACCACTGTATGAAGTTTCAACAAATTATCTCCAAGGGTTTTCAAGTTAAGTTCCGGACAAAGTTCAAAGTATTAAAATAAACAAAGGGCAATAACTCCAAAATTAGGACAAAAAGAGTTATTGTTCTTATGCACTGCACATCTACCCATTGAGATCTATTCACCTACAAAGTTTCATGTTGATATCTCTTATAGTTTTAGAGTTATGCCCCGGACAAGATTTTTCTATAAGGGGAGATAATTCAAAAACCGGGCAAAATAGAGTTATGGTTCTTTGACACTGCACTCCCCCTCGATGCCCTCTCCCACTGTATGAAGTTTCAACAAATTATCTCCAAGGGTTTTCAAGTTATGCTCCGGACAAGACAACGGACGGACAGACGGACAAGGCGCCGACTATATGCTCCCCCGAAATTTTTCGGGAGCATAAAAATATGAGGGGTGAAGTGTCTCAATCAAATTTCTTAAAATGAGGGTGA